GCAGGGAGCCCGATGCGGGACTCGATCCAGGGACTCCAGGATCATGACCTGAGCCGAAGGCAGTCGCTTAACCAACTGAGCCACCCAGGCGCCCCTCAACAGTACATATTTACATCATTGTGCCGAGGAGTATCTAAATATGAGTCACCCCCACCATGTAGTGTGCTATGATTATTATTTTCTTTGTTTGCCTAGGTTTCTAAGTACCTCTTACCAGTTCTTTTGCAAATTTTGAGCAGAGTTCTAAAACCCTTTTAATGTGTTCAAATACAGCACTCAACTTATTAATTCCATTTTCTTCTTAAAAAGTATCTTCTGGGGGCACCTGGATGGCTCAGTCGGTCAAGTGTCTGCCTTCAGCTCAGGTCATGATCTCAGGGTTCTGAGATTGAGCCCCGAGTTGGGCTCCCTGCTGAGCTGGGAGTCTGCTTCTCCCTCGCCACCCCCCCTCCCCCATGCTCTCTCCCTCTCTCAGATAAATAGATAAATAAATAAATAAATTTTTAAAGTGTCGTCTGAGGCTTCTCCTGCTCTAGAGGGGCGTGACTCCCCCGGGCTGGCTGCACACCTCTCATCTGGGTCTTCCCGCTAGCACCAGCCTGGGAATCCCCTTCACCTCGCTCCTGTGTCTGTGGACCCCATGTCTTCTCTGTTGTTAGTTCACATGGGTAGGTATAGGTTTTTAAAAAACCTCCCATTCCTGAAAATGCCTTTCTACTCTACCTTTATTGAGCATTTGGCTCAGTATAGAACTCAGAGTTGTGAGTAGTGAGTGCTCTATTGTTTTCAAGCATTCAGTGTTGTTTCCAGAAGTCTAAAGTCATTTTTATTCTTGCTCCTTTGAATGGAACCCATGAAAGCTTCTTTCTGGTTGTTTTTAGGGTCTTCTCCTTGTCCCTGGTGGTCTGAAATTTCACAGTAACGACCCTCACGATGGGACTTTTCCCACCTGTTGTGCTGAACACTCAGTTGGCCTTTTCAATATGGCAAATATAGAACTAGCCCCCTAGTTCTGAGAAAGTTCCTTATATTTTTTCTTTGATAATTTTCTTAACTACCTATTCCCTATTCTTTCTCTCTGAAACTTCTGTCAATTGGCTGTTTTAACTCCACTAATTAAGTTTTTGTTCTACTTCCTAGGAGATTTTTAATTTTCTTTCTTCCAACCCTCTACAGGATTCTTTTTATTTTTTATTTATTTATTTATTTTTTAAAGATTTTATTTATTTATTT